ATCTGCAATAACCTCAGGGATGGAGATGATAGGGGGAACGTAGACACATTCTGAGGAGACTGCATGGTCACCTGTGCTGCTGAGTGCTGCTGAGTTCGCCACGTTGGCCAAACAGGAAATGAAATTCAAAACTTCCCGGGGCTTTTCCTGTGTACCTGGCTAGTGCATCTGAGTTCAAAGTGCTATCCAGAGCGGTCACAATGGAGCACTGTGGGATAGCTCCTGGAGGCCAATACCGTCAAATTGCGTTCACACTACCCCAAATTCGACTTGGCGATGTCGATTTCAACACTAATCCCTTCATCAGAGGAAGAGTACAGAAATCAATTTTAAGAGCCCTTTAAAGTAAAAAAAAAACGGACTTTGTCGTGTGGACGAGTGCAGGGTTAAATCGATGTAACGCTGCTAAATTCGACCTAAACTCGTAGTGTAGACCAGGGCTAGGAAAAAATTCCGAACTTTCAGAGTGGTTAAGCACTGGAATAAATTGCCTAGGGTGGTTGTGGAATCTCCATCATTGGGGATTTTTAACAGCAGGTTGGACAAACACCTGTCAGGGATGGTCTAGAGATAATGCTTAGTCCTGCCATGAGTGCAGAGGACTGGACTAGATGACCTCTCAAAGTCCCTTCCAGTTCTGTGATAACAAGCAGATTTAACAATAGGTGTGCTATCTGTCTATCCTCTCCTCCCCTCCACCCTACCCCCTTTGGAGGTCACCACAGCTGGGGACCCTGTCCCTCCTCCAAACCCTCCATCCCTGCCAGGTATGTGTGTCTGGGGGGAGGGGGGAGGAAATAGGCGGGGGGGGGGACTTTACATAAGTGAAAAAGGCTTCAAGAAACCTAGTAGCAGATCACTGAAACTGTTAAAGGGCTATTCAAATTGTAATGAAGCCATTTAACAGGCATTTGCCAATGCGCAGGAAGCCTTTGGCTACATTCAGCTGGCTTTTATATTGTAGGAAAATATGTTGTTGGGGTTAAAAACAGTTTCCAAAGGACCCATCCCTTATTCTCTGAAATGAGCAGAAGTACTTTTGACTGACCTGGTTCAAGGAGGAGCTGACATAGCCATCAAGAAACAAACTCACTGGCTATTTTACAACAGAAAAGCTTCAAAAACAGACTCCAATGAGAGACTACTGAGCTGGAATTGATATGCAAACTAGATACAATCAACTTATGCTTGAATAAGGACTGGGAATGGCTGAGCCATTACGAACATTGAATCTATCTCCCCTTGTAAGTATTCTCACACTTCTTATCATACTGTCTGTACTGGGCTATCTTGATTATCACTTCAAAAGTTTTTTCTCTTACTTAACT